AATCTATGAAAACATCTCCTATTTATCATCTCCTGCTCTCGTTTATCTTTCTTTCACCTCCCTCTCTTCTCTCTCTCTCTCACCTATCTATCTTCTATCTAATCTCTTGCTCTTGCTTATCTGTCTCTCCTCATCTCTCTCATCTATCTATATATCATCTATCTATCAAAACATCTCTCATCTCTCGCTTATCTTTCTCTCATCTCCCTCTCTCATCTCCCTCTACTATGAGGAAGAACTTCCTGACTGTGAGAGCCGTTCAGCAGTGGAACTCTCTGCCCCGGAATGTGGTGGAGGCTCCTTCTTTGGAAGCTTTTAAACAGAGGCTGGATGGCCATCTGTCAGGGGTGCTTTGAATGCAATATTCCTGCTTCTTGGCAGAATGGGGTTGGACTGGATGGCCCATGAGGTCTCTTCCAACTCTTTGATTCTATGATTCTTTTCTCTCTCTCTTCTATCTCTCAAGCTCTATCAATCTTCTATTCCTCATCTACCTGCCTAACTATTGCTCTCGCTTATCTTTCTCCTATCTCCCTCTCTTATCTCGCTCATCTATCTTCTATCATCTATCTATCTATCTATCTATCTATCTATCTATCGATCTATTACTCTCACTTATCTTTCTGTTATCTCCCTCTCTTCTCTCTCTCTCATCTATCTATCTTCTATGAGGGTTGAAAGAAAAGTAATGCCTCCACCTTCATTACTTGGGTTTGAATGGGAATATTTTAATAAATCAAACGCCGAAATCATCCTTGGAATGTGCTCTTTAACGACCACTATTCACTTTCCCACATAACCACCAGACAATTGGATACCATTCTGCCAACAATGAAGCCGTCACGGAAGAAGTCAACACTCTGTTTCCACAACCAGCGTCTCACCGTTCTCTCAACGTCTTCATCAAAAGCATCAGGATGTCCCTGCAGATCTTCTGTTAGGAATGGTGGGAGTTGTGGTCCAAAACACCTGGAGGGAGGGCCCAAGTTGGCCCATGCCTGGTCTATGCATAGTTGCTATAGAGAGAGGAGGAGATGATGATGATGATGATGAAGATGATGCCCCTTTCCTGGCTCTGTCCCCATGGCCTCCCTCTTCCTTGGGCCCAATGGGACAGAAAGGGGCCTCGCTCTCCTCGGAGTCCCTTAATCCCCCCTTTTCAGGGGCACAAAGGCACCTGGGTGGTCCGGCCTTTTCCAAAGGGGACCCCATTGATTCCCCCAATGAATGAACCAACGGAGGAATGAATGGAGGGATGGATGGACGGATGGACGGAGGGAGGGAAGCCTTTTCTTCTCCAGAGGATAAAACCTCCACAGGGAAGGCAGGTCCAGCGCCGGATTCCCATTGGACCCTTCCTTCCACAGGGTTCACAGAGTGGGAAGGGACCCCTGAAGGCCATCCAATCCACCCCCTCCTGCCATAAGCAAAGGCACCACCCAAGCCC